TGGCAGTCCGATGTGACGACCGTTGGCTCTGTAAAACTACCCATAACTTTTGCACCACAACCCCCCCCCCCACACCCCCCACCACTCCCCCCCCTCCCCCCCCCCCCCCCCCCACCCCCCCCCCCCCCCCCCCCCCCCCCTGTCCCGCTCCCGGTCCATTGCCTGGGAAGGGGCAGGCGGGCCGGGGGCCAAACGCCCAAGACCCCGCCTCTGACTCGGCAAATGCCCGCATGCCCTTTTTGCCTGGCCTCCCTGTCGGCTTGTCAGTTTGCCTTCAACCTGCCGGCCGTCCCGGATCCCCAGCTGCCCAAGGGCACCACCAACTGCCCGTACCCGATGTTCGGCCCGGCGCCGGTGGGCTTCCCCTCACAGCCTCCCGGGGCCCTGGTGAATGACCGCCGCCGGGGTGGCGGCCCGCATGATGGCCCCTTCCATGATGGCCGGCCGCAGAAGTTTGCTCGCACCGGCGGCATGGCCCCGGCTTCGGCCCTTTCCCGGCCGGCCGACACTGGCTGTTGGTTTTGCTTGTCGAATCCGGGCGCGGAGAAGGTGCGTCCTCCTTGACCGCCGGGGGGGGGGGGGGGGGGGGGGCCCCCCCCCCTTTTTGCCCTTCCCTCAGGACGCCTCCCCGCCCCTCGGACCTTGCTGCCTCGTATCTTACCCATGGTGCTTTTTTTTTCGGCCTCCCGCGACGTTCCTCCCGCCAGCACCTTGTCATTTCCCTCGGTGAGCTGGCCTACGTGGCCCTTGCCAAGGGCGCGCTCCAGGCCGATCACATTCTCCTCACCCCCATGAGCCACAGCGGATGTTTGAACCTCCAGGCGGCCGACGGCGCAGAGGGCGCCGACAGCGAGTCGGGCATTAGCCTCTCGACGGCCATCGAAATCGAGAAGTACAAGGTGCGCCATGGTGATTTGGTGTTCCTTCGACGGCAATCGCCGCCGTCGTCCATGCTGCTCCATGCTTTCAGGCGCAGGCGAAATCCTGCTCTGTCTTCTTCTTCCTTTGTGCCTCCTTGCCGTCCCCACCCCCCCTCCCCCATGCCTTCGCCGGACTCTCTTGGATGCGCCTCTTCGCTAACCGCCTGGCTGGGGACCACACAGGACGCCATCCGCCGGGCATTTGCCAAGGCTCGCAAGCGTGCCTTCTTCTTCGAGGTGATTATCCCTCGGCCGAGCCACTCTGGTCCGGAGCCCTCGCGCTTTGTTCACGCGCACATCCAGGCCGTCCCGGTTCCGGCCTCCAAGTGCGACGATGTCATGTCCATCCTCTCCAGCGAGGTACCCTCTCTCTCTCTCTTTTCCCTCTCTCTCTCTCTGCTTCTCCGTGCACCTGGCCTTTTTCGCCCGTTCCCCTAAAGAGGGAGGACGAAAAACATACCGCTGTGTGCTGCTCACCAAGCTGCCCTGCCTTTTCCCCGGTTCACCCGTGCGGCAATCGTGCCAAAAAAAAAACACCCGGAAACTAGATCGAGCGCATCTCCGGTGCACAGCTTGAGCGGGCGCACTTCTCCGAGGAGGCCTCCTTGGCCGATCCGCTTGCGGGCGAGTCCGCCCCGGAGGAGGGCTGGTTCCGCCAGCGGGCGATCGAGCTCTCAACCCGCACAACCGAGCTGCTGGCCCCCCTGGCCAGCCCGGAGGTCGAGGCCCCGGCCGGGTCGCCGGCCTCCGGTGTCGGGTACTTCCGCTGCGAGATCCCGCACGCGGCCGACGGCGCCGACCCCGGGGTCTTCGTTTGCCCGATCGCCGGGTTCCGCTTTCCCATGCAACTTGGCCGTCTAGTGGCGGTTGGGGCGCTGGGACTGGACCCGAGCCGCGTCGGTACGTTGGCACCTTTTGGATGTTCCCCCCCCCCCCTTCCGGTCTCAGTCTCTCACGCCCCTCTCGATGCTCGGCCGGCGTTCCCCGGCTGGGCCCCGGCTCCCCCCGGCTCGGCCCTGAGGGCAGATTGGAAAAACTGCATTGTGCCGAACAACATCGAGGCTCGGCAGGCCGCCGACTTCCGGGAGTTCTTCTCGGCCTTTGAGCCGACCTTCGAGGAGGAGGAGGCGCCGGAGGAGGAGGACGCCGAGAATGAGCAAACCGACGACGGCCCGGCTCCCAACGAGGCGCCTGCCGCCCCGGCCGTGGGAGAGCCCACGGCGGCGGCGGCGGCGGCTGCCTCGTCCTAGCGGGCGCAGGGTCCATGAGCGCGCGCACACGCCCGCCCACGAACCGGCGACCATGCACACGCCCCTCGGGAGCCATTTATTCCGAGCGAGAACTTCATTGCCCGACGCACGCACGCACACACGCCCAAATAGATCTCTCCTCGTTCAGAAACCCCCGGCCCCGGAAGTTTCGACAATGCGCAAAGCACAGCGGTGGTGGTGGGCGTAAATTCCCTCGGGGTGTGATCGGGCGGGCTATTTTTCCGAGCTCCCTGCTTCCAGCCCTGGACCCTTCCATTCCCCCCACATAGACATCACCACTGCACGCGCCGCGCGCACGCACATACACACGCACGCATACATACATCCCTACGGACACCCGTTCGCCGCCCTCTGCCTCCTCCGCCCCCCCCCCCCCTGCCCTACTGTCTACCATGTCCGACGGTCACTCAACGGAGTCAACGCTCAGGTCGATGTCGGGCCGCTCCCAGTCCTCGTGTGGCTACTGCGGCAAGAGTCAGACCTCCACCTTCTCGTTGTGTGCGCTTTCCATGTCCCCAAGGGGCCGATCTCCCTCATGACCGCGCCCTTTGTCGCGCGATGTCCCTCTAACTAGCCACCCTTCTTTTTTGCCCCCCTCCCCCCCCCCCCCCCCCCCCCCCCCCCCCCCCCCCCCCCCCGTCCCCCCCCACACCACCCCCCGCACGCCCCCCTCCCCCTCACTCCCTCCCCCCCCCCCCCCCCCCCCCTCCTCCCCCCTCCCCCCCCCCCTCCCTCCTCCGCCCCCCCCCCCCCCCCCCCCCCCCCCCCCCCCCCCCCCCCCCCCCCTCTCTCCCCGGTGTATCGAGC